TTGCAGATACAATCAAGGCTATAAATACTTGGGCAATACCAGTTATAAGATACACAGCTGGTATAGTTAACTGGACACAAGCTGATTTGGATATTTCCAAATTAACAACCAGTTCTCCCAAAGTGGTGCAAACTGCCTAAATCCCGCCACTAATCATCATCATCATCATCATCATCATCATCATCATCATCATCATCATCATCATTTTTAGACATTGTCTATCCACTGCAGGATGATGGCCTCTTCTGCATGTTTCCAACCAATACGGTCCTGAGCTTTCTTTTGCCAGTTGGACTTGCAATACTTGGTGATGTCGTCATTCCATCTTGTTTTAGGTCTCTTTCGTGGATGCTTTTTATCAAGTGGGATCCATTCTATGACTGCCTTAGTCCATCTACCATCAGTTGTTCTTGCTATCTGACCAGTCCATTACCATTTCCATTTTTTTTATTCTCTTGATATCGTAGACAAAATTATTAGTAATGCTATTAATATAAAAATTAAAACATTTCCCTGCTCAAGTTCTCAATACACAGATAGTCATAGCATGACTACAGAACAATTAACCACATTCAGTCATGACATTGAAAATGCAAGCATTATTGCAATACATTTTTAAATTGCAAGAACCAATCTGAATCTTAAATACATTTTAAAACTATTTTTATGTGAAGAACTCTTTCAATTCTTGCTGATCTTCCAAGGATGCTTTAATTTATTTTTTTTACAAGTTGTCCATATTTTGGTCATATACAGGTAGAACAAATCTGGTGCTTTTCCAAATGTATCTCATTTAATACATTCACTTTATTTTCAAACTTCTGAATATCTAATATCTGTTTAACATAATATCATGGATAATAATTTATGGATTTATTTATACAATGCTATCATAAAGACAGTTAATTATGGTGCTCCCAGTATAGCTAGCCTCATATATTATGCTAGGCTACAATGCCATTTGTTTGAGTTTGACTTTATACATTATGTAAGTGTTTCTCAGCCTTGCGAATTTTAAGGCATGTGGACTTCAACTCCCAGAATTCTCTAGCCAGTCATGGCTGACTGGGGAAGTTTGGAGTTGAAGTCCACATGCCTTAAAATTCCCAAGGTTGAAACCACTGCATAATGTGATTTCCCCTCCCCCCCCACAAAATAAAAACACTTCTTCCTAATTTGAAATATAATTTAAACAAACCATGGCTTAGTACAATGTGCAAATCCAATCAGCAAACTGCAAATAAAAATGTTTCTGTGTATATGCTTCTCTACTGTGTTGGGTTTTTGTTCATCTGAAATTTATTATTTAAGGATTTTTTTAGCAAGATAAAATTTACTTTTTTTTTTTTTTACCATGTTAGTATTTCACTTGTTTTGTTGTGCTAACAAGGCAAAAACTTTGGATAAAATCTATGGCCCTATTCAGAAATGGGCTAGAGAACTAGTGAGATAGCGGTGTAAATGCCATATTTTCTATAAGAGGGAGACTTATAAGAATTTTAATATCAAACATTACTTTATTTGCATAACTAATTTTTATACCATTGAAAGTTCTGAAAGTCTGTAGGAACAAGCTGTTACACCCATGCTTTTCAGCTTGTTTTGGTCTGCAAAAGAATCTTCAAGATATCTGTTATAATGGTGAAAAAATGCATGGGTTCAGGTTCAGACAAAATGAAAAAGCAAAATTATTATGTTTAGAGATGAAATGTGTCAATGCTGTTTTCCATAAGGAATAAAATTTCAGAACAGAATTTTGGTTTTATTAATATATTTTTTAAAAATGTGAACATTTCCTTCTCCAACCTTGTGTTATCTTTACAATGCCAAATAGAATTTCGGAATAAAAGAAAGAGATGGGCTTCTGATTTTATAAAGACATAAAATGACAGTATGGACATTAGAAATAAAAATAAATAAATGAGCAAAAATGTCAGCTGGAATATTGAACAATTATTTTATGTACAAAGTAACACCATGAAGCTATTTTTTCCTCTGTTTACAAGGGATCTAAAACTAACATTAGTTGATTTATACATTCTTCTCAAGAAAGACATTGTCTTCTTTCTAACATTCTCTTCATCTCTTTTTTTGTCCTTCACCTTTTCTATCAAAGGAAATTGGCCCTGAAATATCATCCTGATAAGAACCCAGATAACCCAGAGGCTGCAGAAAAATTTAAAGAAATTAACAATGCTCATGCAATATTAACAGATGTGTCCAAAAGAAATATATATGACCAATATGGATCATTAGGGCTGTACATCGCTGAACAGTTTGGTGAAGAAAATGTCAATACATATTTCATGCTTTCTAGTTGGTGGGCAAAAGTAAGTATTGAACTGCAAACCTGGTAGACCAGAGACTGAAACACACAGTCATTGGCTTGTTACAATCTGTTTTGGCCTTTCAATTACAACTTTCACAAAATTTGCTCTTAAACATTGCAGAGTTCTAGATCATTTAATCTAGGAAAGGTTTTAGTCTCAGGAACTTTAATGATATGGCCGTTCTATCTCCATACTTCTGGTAAAGTGCTTATTAAATAATATATCCCAATCTCTTTTATTTGCTAATTAAATATGCTGCATAGACATTTAATTGCCTGAAGACATTAATTATATCTGAAGCTAAAGCTCCAGGTTAATTTAGACTTTCTTCTCAGAAATGAGTAAATGAAAATGACTCATTTTTCAAAGAGAAAAATCTTCTTGGTGTGACAACCAGATAATCAGTTATTAAAGTACAAACCTATCCCTATTTTGGGATATATATGGCGTAGGGTATGCGTAAGCAGTAGTAATATGCAACACTATTTATCATTATGGTAAATATCTTGTAAAAGGGCTGGAAAAAGGAAGTAGAAGATTTGAGGAGGGCTTTCTGGAACAAAATATAGTGGATTGACCCAGGAAAAATGGATCTTGCAATTTGGATGACACTGAAAATCTTACTCATCTTGTTTGTTATGTAATTGTAAAGATTTGGCATTTATACCTATCACACACATTAGCATTTCCATCACAGTATGACCAAACATATTAGGCCTCAGGCATCCAAAAAGTGCCAGATTTCACACCTTATGTGTTATTCTCACTGCTATTTCTAGTTATTAGAGCCTTTGGATAAGACAATATTATTAATTTAGCTAGAACATTGACACGCAAGGATTGCCATTTTAAATAGGGGTGAATTTATAAAATATTATATTTTTATATTTCATTTCTATGATCTAACTTTATAGTATGGTTCCCCTGGGTGTGACTTGCAGCACTTGCACATTCATTTCAGAGGCCTACCAAAAAAAATTACTCAACTGTCTTCACTTCTGCAGATGTTGAGATGCTAAGAACAGGCAGAAAACACATGACTAATCATCACTTCCTGCAGGAGAGTGCAAAAAAGGTCATTCAACTGAACCTTGCCTCCCCCCCCTCCAAGCAGCACAATACCTGAAATAACAAACTCCTACTCCACACATAAAGGAAGGATGGAGTTTTTAATTGTCTCCATCCAGGTTTCTGGTATGTATTGGGTGCATTTGAAATCTGTAAAAAAAAAAAACAGTGATTAAACAGTAATTGTTAGGGGGGAATTAAAATTAAAATTCCTCTTTCATGATTTGAACATGAAGTTCTATGGAGAGAGAGTACCGATTTTTGCTTGTGTACATATATTCCTACTACACAATACTCTTCTGCCTGAGCTGCTTGAATCTGCAGCTGGGCTGAAAGAGAATTCATCAGGCTCTGCCTTCACTTCATTCTGAGTTGGAAGTAGCTTGAGAATTCATAGCCAGTAGTTGTCAATTTTTGTTCAATCTCCATAGGTATCAGGCTTACAACTAAAAAGAAGCTGGAAGCAGCTGATTATTTGTACCCACTGCAGTTAAACTACAGGCCAAAATATATAACAACACTGATTGTGTTTATGCTTGTAGATGATCTATGGCAGTCTCAGAATAGGAATTGTGTATCTACCCTGTTCCTTCTTGATCTTTCAATTTCAGTATAATTGATCATTATATTCTTTTGAACCAACTGGCAGTAGGGAGAAGGGGGCACAATTGTTGGTGGATCTTCTTCCTACATTGTTGGTTCCAGCCAAAATGGGGGGGGGGTCTAGCCACAGGCCATTGATTTATTCCTCTTTAATATTTATATGAAACCATTGGCCAAGGTCATTTATTAGCAAAGGGTACATCAGTTCTCAGCATACATCTCTGTCCTTGGTTGCCCAACTGATATCATTGAGGTACTTTCCCTATGCCTCTAGGCCATGCAGGTATTGATGGGGAAGAGCCAGCTCTGACTCAATGCTGACAAAACCTTAAGTAACTGTAAGTCCCCCACATCTGGTGAGTCTCTCTTCATCATTAGCGGTAAGTGGTATTACGTTCCTCCCACAATCTGTGCACAGTTTGGGGGTCCTCCTGGATGTGTGCCTCCTGCTCCAATAAGTGGAAATTGTGATAGGGAGGATCTTTGCACAATTACAACTTGTGTATCAGTTGTAGCAATGTCTAAATTGAGAAGGACTGCTCACAGTATCTTATACCATAGTCACTCCCAATTATATACTTTGTAAGTGCATTTGGACATTTCATTTGTTATTCAGTGATACATGCGGTACTGGGTGTTGCATGGAACATCACATAACATCACTGCTATATGAGCTGCATTGGCGCTCAATAAGTTTCCAAAGGCAATTTAAAGTGCTGGTTGTTATCTTTAAATCCCCACATGGCATGGAGCGAAATCACTTGTTGCTTCTTCCCAAACGATTTTTGTATGCTCACCAAATCAAGCAGAGAATGCTCTGGGTCCCATCAGTAAAGCAGCGTCATTTGGTGGGCTGAAAGAAGCATGCCTTCTCCCTTATGGAACAGCATCTGTCTGTGATTCGGATGGCTTCTCTATCCTGTTGGCAGTAGAGTTACTGTACCTCTTTTTGTCTTTACAGCAACTAATACTCAGAAGTCAATTTCTCCTGAACCTGCAAGTTTTAAAAAGTGTTAAGTTTATTGGGTGACTCTTTAATCAAGCACTCCCCCCTCCCTCCCTCTCTCTCTCATACAAACACATGTAAACCAGGAGCAAGGTCAAGCAAGTCACTGATGTCAAAGCCATTGACTTTCTTTCAGAAAGTTTCTTGGGTATCAACACTCCTTTGTCAACCCTGGAAGACTCCTTTAAAACCTTTGTGGTCAACTCATATATTTCCTAAATCAAGCCAGGAAGGCATTATTTCTCTGTTCTGATTTTTCTCAATAATACGTTTCTTCCTCTTTTCTGCTTCTCTAAGGGTCTGTTCACCCTTTGTGGTCTTTTGACTGGGTGCTACTGTTGTTGCTGCCTGTGCTGCTGTTTCAATTGCTGTTGTGGAAAATGCAAGCCCAAGCCCCCGGCAGAAGAGCAAGAGTTCTGCATGTCTCCTGAAGATCTGGAAGAGCAAATCAAGACAGACATGGAAAAAGGTACCTATGATTGTACAGTCACAGATTATACTATTTAACCAAAAAAAGAAAACCCACTCTTACTTTCTCACAAAAATACCCAAGGGCTTTATTCCAGCTGCTCAGTTTTGGAGATCTTAATTTGAGAAAGGACATCCTATACAAAGAAGTGTTAATTAAATTCCTCTCAAACTGCAGTGGAGGTTACTTTAAATGCTCAGCAGGTGGTAATTGATTAATATCCTGATTTTTTTAATGTGATTAGTTAATTTGTAGAGTAGACAGTACAACTACTGTATTATAGAGCACTGAAATGGGAAGAATATTATTATTTTCAGTGTAAAATGAAGCAGAGTGAAGAAGTATAGCAATGGAAAGGAAGAGTCTGATTTACATAAAATATTTAGCTATATGCCACCCAGATAGCAAAATGGGCGGTAAATAAATTTAACAAATAAATAAGGGTTATAAACATATACAGTATAGTTTTTGAATGTGTGTCCATTACGTGTGTGTGTGTTTCTGTGTGTTTAAGAGAGTTATAGACCACTCAAGTCTGATACAACTCTGCAGCTCACAAATGCAATATTAATAAAAAAGTAAAAACAAGAGAAAGTCTGGAAAAACCAACGTTCATTTAATATCACACAGGCATCTATCAACCTCTCTGATGCAGAACCAAGTTTTAAAGATTCATTTAAATAGGACTAAGTTAGGGACAGAATAACTCGGGGGGGGGGAGATATTTTTCCAGAAGGCAGGCATCATGATATGTGTGCGTTTGTGTGTGTGTGTGTGTGTGTGTGAGAGAGAGAGAGAGAGAGAGAGAGAGAGTAATATCTACTCAAATCTTAGTAGTAGTAGTAAATATATGAAA